TCAGTTGAATTATACTTAATCAACTGTTAAAAACATACTGTTCACATTTTTCTTTCTCCAATAAATGGATGTTTTTAAAGTCAATGAATAATCGCAATTACAATTATTAGCGATTATGATTGTTGCCATAATCGAGCAGCCCTATCACATCCTCCCCCTTAAATGTAACTGTTCAGCTCTTAAATGCAGATGATTCACCTAGAAACCTCCTTCAAACCACAACAGACAGGGTTGAACGAAACAAAGGACAACTTGCCCTTTTCAAGGCTCTATTGACATCCTGCACGCAAGCACAAGCAACTGATGGAGGGAAGTAGCAAACTAATTGGCCTGAGAGGACACCATGAAGCTAATCATGTTATTAGGCAGATGATTGTCTCCCTTCTTGGTCTTGCTAACAGTTAGCCGCCATCTCCAAGTCATTATGGACTCATGACAGAAATCAATATGAGCCAACGAGAGCACATTTCAAAGGAAGCAGCAGGTGTTAAGCTTCTCTTGTGCAGCAGAAAAACACACCAGCGTTGAGGATAAGTGGCTAAGTGGTAACAAACCAATAAAGTGATGAAAAAGTAGATGGAGGAGAGGAACAGTGCAGTCGGATAAAAGGAGCACAGATCAATGGCTAAATGAATAGAGGTAAAGATGGAAGTAAAGAGAGATGTTGGATAAGAGGAATGTATCAACCCAAGGGATGGATAACTCACAGGGAAAGAGACAGTGGGGTCAATAACATGAGGAGAGTTCATTAGGTTTTAATCTGTGTTTCTCAAGTATAAGGGAGATAAGGGAATACACTGAGATCCAAACAGGCTCAAGATATGGATCTAACCAATGTGATTACTAGTGGCTTACTGCATTTCTCCACCAAATGCAAAGCTCTGATTTCGGCCAACTACTTACCAAAGAGTGAGAATGTGCCATGCATTGCACAATTGTGTATTAGCAAGTGTGTTTATTCAGTGTCTGGTTCCACAAAACCTGTTCCTGTGAGCTAGCTGTAGTTGACAGCTCGTTCCTTCTGAATTCACACACACACACACACACACACACACACACACACACACACACACACACACACACACACACACACACACACACACACACACACACACACACACACACACACACACACACACCACACACACACACACACCACACACACACACACACACACACACACACACACACACACACACACACACACACACACACACACACATCACACACACACACACACACACACACACACACACACACACACACACAACACACACACACACACACACACACACACACACACACACACACACACACACACACACACACACACACACACACACACACACACACACACACACACACACACACACACACACACACACACACACACACACACACACACACACACACACACACACACACACACACACACACACACACACACACACACACACACACACACTAAATTATATTATTTCTGACTCTTCCTTCCAAAGACTTATTCCAACACAAACAGGTTTGCTTTGAGTTTACATTCCTAACCCTAGTTGTAAGTGGGCTTGCTCGTCTTGAGGCAAACACCCCGTACACATATGAATTAACACAAAAACTCCAAGTTAGCGGCATTATAAAACCCCAGCGGTATCTTCCAGAGCTCAATATAACCAAGTGAGAACATACCTGTCTGGGAAAGCTGGTGTAGAACTCCGAGATTCAAGCGAGAATGAATGAGGGGACACCCACACACACATACACACACCCCTCCCTACTGATTACCTCACTTCCCATTACACATATGCTTTGGAAACTTCTCAGGAAGTAAGAGGACCAATAAGAGTGAAGGCTTGAATAGAGGAAAGAAAGGAAGTCGAGAGAAAGACTAAGTGGGTGGTTTTAAGAGTGACAGAGCCGCCCTAGGCCAGGGTGCAAACCACACAAACTAATGGGTAGCCTGTGTATGACGATGACACCTAAATGACTAAGCCTTCAACGAGTTAAAGCTACAGGAAGAGGAAGAGAAACATAGATCAAATTATCTGAAAGTATCCATAACTACATTATGTATCATCAGACACACCCAAACCACTTATAACCTGTTTGAGTGCACAAACAATGTCTAAACTAGGAACTAGAGCAACTAGACTCCGCCCAAATGTTACAAACTAGGTCAGTAACTGTCAACAAGCTGGACCAGTGACTCTTGTTTTCACTGGAATGAAAGCAAAAGCTGTGAAGACACTATTTTGTTGGGGGTCCATTTAAAGGTGGTGGCTGCAGGGTTAAATAACCGTGGTCATAAAGAGCAATGCCTTTAACAAGCCCAGAGTTCAACGCTTCACCTGAACTCATCCGGCCACGTTGAGAGCTTTCACCACAGTTTGTTTTACTCCTAGGACTGTGGAAGTTTCTTTTGACCTCTCCATTTGATTCATATCACATCTTTGTCAATTCTGTCTGTTGTTTATTTTAGGGCTGCTCAATTAATCGTAATTGTAATCGCAATTACGAATATGGCTTGCAACGATTACGAAAGCAACGTAATCGAAATAAAACCATTATTTTTTTATTACTTTTATTGGTTTTTCAGTTGTTCAATCAACTGTTAAAAACATACTGTTTTTTTCTCCAATAACTTGATGTTTTCAAAGTAAATGGATAATCGTGATATCAATTATTGACCCAAATAATCGAGATTATGATTTTTGCCATAATCGGGCAGCCCTAGTTTATTTGGACTATCTTAGCATGCGGATAACCCTGTTGCATCATCGCTTTGCCACCAGGTTGCGTATAGATTAAAAGAAAGACTGTGTGTCATCTTTGACAGTCGTTATTGCTGAGGATGACAGAGATACAACAAGGAGGAATCCTCTTAAAGCTTCCTATACGCTACCTCTTAGATGCTTCCTTATCCTTCCCCCTCTTTCAATTCCCTGTCTTCTTGTGGCAAGTGTGCCTGAAGAGACCAATGACCATTATCATCACTGATTTTCCAACTTTAACGCTAGCTTTTATCACCTTTGGTCCCAGCTCTTTTCCCCACAGTTGTAAAACTCTCTCATAATCTCTTCATGTCGAGTTCACATTTAAATACTTTGAATTTCAATGGATTTAAAAGTATGCTACATCTACATTTGGTATCTGCTAAATATTGTCAGGATATTTCATTAAACCGCAGGCATGGATGACTAGCTGTGATGCTGGTTGACAACAGAGCCTGGGCTATCTTTCTGCTCTATGACCAGCTGGGTCTAACTGTCAGAAAGCATTAGGAGGTCTAAGGTGTTTAAGACACCAGCAGCAACTGAATACCACATAATAACAAGCCTGTGCACGGACACACATTCACATCCTAATGACACCACTTTAACAGTGCACAAATACCCACTCAACAAACCCGTGTTTATTGCTTAAGGACAAACCTCTCTTGACAAGGCAAACACACGGAAACATACAGATATATGGAAATAAAAGTCTCTATAATAGGATTGAAACAGTATCTTATTATTTAGACAATATCTGAACACAACACCAGAAAAGCAGCCCTCGTTTGTGAAGGCCACAGATTGTAATTTTTCAACTTTTGAGACCAAGTTCAGTAGTCAAGGACATCTTTTCATGGCTCTAGGCTCTGCGGCAAAGTCCCCATTGTACAGGAGGAAACCCCTAACTGGCTGAATGAAAAGAGGAAAGACATGATCACTATTATACAAATCCTACAACGCATCATCTAACATTGCACTGTGTCTGTGCCCCTGCCACACACACAGTGGAATCATCTGAGGAAATATCCTAACTAGGTCTTGACTGACCACACACACACACACACACACACACACAGCTGTTACTGAACACAATGAAGTCAGGTACAAAGTCTGCCTGTGACTACTGTAACAACACAGGTGCAATGAAAAGCACGTTAGCTTAACACACTTCCAACCATGACCGTTTATTAATTTCATGTTATCTAGCTAATTTAAATAGTAAGAATAGTTTGTCCCCAGGCACTGCTAACCAGCTAGTTACAAACAAGCTACAAAGAAAACTGGGACCACGGCTTGCGTTTAAACAACGTGAAATACTGTCTAAAGGCTCTGGTAGCTCAATGGCCAACATCAGCGTTTCCCCACGTATGATTCAGTTTATTTGTTCACCAATATCAGGCAGAGACTGTACATTAATCCTCCGCGGTCACACGCTCTCTGTCTCGGCTCGCTGAATGACTTCGAGCTGTCACCACGGTTGTAGATTAGCTAGTTAGCTAGCTCGGCTAAGGCGCGACACCAAGTAAACTGTGGAAGTTACTGTTTACTTACGGGCATGCTATCTTGTCAATTTCCTGGTGTCGCTGTCCTCTGTCGTTCCAACAAGACAAGTAAAAGGATATCAATTCGCTACTCAATAAATCTCCTCAATAATTCATCAACATCAGCTCCTTCCATCTTCATTACTTTCTCCACTCAGACTACCTTAGACTAGGAGACTCGGTCTCCACGGAGTGACAGACGTCTAAACCAATGGGTGAGTGGTATATGATCCAGTCGCCACAACCCCCAAATGCAGCATCCAATCAAATTAGACTCTAGGAGGCATGCTAATAATTTCCACCACCGAGGTAGGTTGTCGCTGTCATTCACTGCTCTTTGACAGCAATTATCTTCCACTGATGCTTTTATTGAACACCAAAGAAGTTATTTATTGACATGTTTTACTATAGAATTATTGTAAGAACAAATCATTATACCGAATCATATACATTGCAGCTGAGAAGTTATTAGTCAATGCATGTATTCAATTAGTTTAATTAAAATATATTATTTAGATTTAAACTGTAAACATAATTTGTAACATTTAAAAAAGCATTGCATCGAACAAACATGGAATCAAAGTCATTATGGTCATACTTATATTTGTTTTTAATAAACACATATAATTATGTTTTTATTATATTTTAACTTCCAAACTTTCTCATATAGAAATGAGCAAACCATCATGAAAAATAAACCTGTAAAGATTAGGGCAAAAGCACGACTCTAAAAATTTCTCTGATGGATAAATAATGCATGACCACTTGACAATGACCTCTAGAACAATGGATTTTCCAAAATGAATTATCAAGATGGCATATGACCCTGTGTTTTCATGCAAATAACAGATGGAAAGCTGGGTTTTAATCAGTTTATAAATACATGGGCTTTTTTGGAAAATAATCAGGAAATCTGCCTCATGTCCTATTGCCATGCCTCTGTGGGGCACTCTGTCCTGTCCTTTGTACATTATAGAAGAGATGTATAATCCTATGCAAGTCACACTCACAATTATCCTGTTTTAGAAAAGCCAAAGAACAATCTCTCCTTACCGCCCAAATATTGCAAATTCAAGTGTCTAATCAGGTAGAAAAGTGTGTAATATATGTTTTTTATTGGTATTGGAATATTGGGAATGTACATTCATGTAGTGCATTTTAGAGAAACAAAATAATTGGAGGAATATAAATTGAGGTGCAACCTTTGGAAATGTAAAGTGATTCTGCAATGCCACCTAATGTTAGTGGGTAAGATTACACCCTGCAAGGAAAATAATGTAAGTCATTCTACAGACATCATCATTTAAATATAAAAATAAGTCTCAAAAAGCAGAGACTTTTTATTAAAAAAATGATAAAACATTTAAAAAAAGATATCATTGTAAAACTCTGTGTACTGATAATAAAGGTGATGCAAGATGCTGCAAAGCAAAGACTTGGATTATTTAAATGCATGCTGTTCTGTGTGTGCCTTATTGTTTTAAATGTTGTATGGTGGATTTAAAGTGGACATCTAAAAAAAAACATTAAAGATAAGCCCCTGCTATCTGTGCAGCCTCAGTGAAGACTTCCCCGGCCCTGTTGTCTGTATCCTAGTGCAAACTCCTTCGCCCTCCTCACTTCTTTCAGGTTCTCCTCCAGGTTCTCACTCAGCCTGCCATGCTCCTGGTAAGTTGCTGCAGTCCCCTTCACTTGTTCAGCCATTTGATCCTTGCTACGGAGCAGCCAGCCAATCAACTCTTGAAGTGTGGTGCCCTTTGAGATGGTGGCTTTGGCACTCGCCGAAATGCCCTTCACTTCATTCTGAGCAAATTGCAGATGTGGAGGCAGTGGTTCCTCATCACTTTCATCCACACGAACCACAATGAGGGAGAATTCGTATCCCTTTATCTGAAGTGAGACCCTGTACTTGGCCTCTGGAAGTGGAGAGTAATGGAGATTAAAATACAGAAACCAAGAAAACCGAAGCAAGGGAAATCTGCCATCAAGTTTCCTCCACTTGCAGGGAGTGTGTCACTTACCGTGCTCGTCTCTGATCATCCCAACACATTCGGTTAAAGCCAGGGTATCATTGTGGTTACAGCTGTAGCTCTGGCGCAGGTTTCTGATATTTCGGACCATGGCCTCATATCGCTCGTGCTGTTCATTGAAAGTCTCTGCCATGTCAGAAAACCTCTGGTCCAACTCTGGCACACACACTCGCCTCATAACCAGCCTGCCAATCCGCTTTACGGTCTTTGCATCTGGAGGGAAAAGAGTGTCACACATCAGGCACAGACACATAGAAAATAACACGTGTGGTTCACTTATAGTTTTATGCATTGGAAGTGTAAAGGTCTGAAAGAAATGTACCACTGTGTGCTGATCGGCTCTGCCTGGCTGATCCAGCTTCATTCAGGTCCGATGGTCCAGGGTGCAGGAGAGGCTGTCTCTAAAATATAAAGCAGAGTCGCTTTCTTTACATAACATTTATTTTACTGGCACTTTTTAGAAAAGACACACAAAGCACTAATAAGGCTGGAAACTTGTAATGACTTTGTTATCAACTCAATGCACCAACCAATGTTTTGGAGGAAAACAAATATATATATAAAAATGTGTTTCCTACTTTATTAATCATTGAGACATTATTATACTTTCAAGTTATATTGTATAAAGGGATGGGACAATACCAATGTATGTGTGAAAACAAATCTAAATAATAGTGGCAAATGTATTTTATTGGGACAATAATGAATGTCTTCACGATTTTAAAATATACCTTTATTATTATTATTATTATTATTATGAGAGAAAGAACAGGCTAACACTTGTTGTTGTTGTTTATTACATTGTATTTGTGCAGGGAGACATGTGATTTACGATTACATTATTTAAGATTGGTTTCTTTTGTGTCATGTGTGATACAAGAAAAGAAAACGTGTTTCCAGTGTGTTTCGTAGCTTTTCTAAGAGTTTTAAGATAATCATTTTATACAATTATCGAAAATGAGTCTTCTAGTCTTGTGATACACCATGAAAATACTTTAACATGGAATATCCAATGATAATTATATACAATACATTATTATTTAAAGCATAACATCTTTATAAAGGGAGTAGTCCCCATCATTTTAACATTAAAAGTAGTAATAGTTCAAACTATTAATCTCACAACAGCAAAACAATGATTAAGTGAATCGTTTGAACTCGAATAGGAGGCATTAACATTTACATAAAAGTCAATAAACACGAACCTCGTCGGCGGAGTCTCCACTTGAGAAGCAACAGCAGAGAAAACGGAGCATTTTCCTGCTGCTCTGGGGTCTCTCAATTTGTTTTCAGGTCAGTAATTTCTGACAATGCATTTGGAGTCTGCACATACCGTCAACGTCACGCGACTCTATAAAAACTTTTCTTCCTGGTTATGATTACTGGACAAGTGCACAGATATGAGCATGTCAGACAGGTGCACCTACTACAGGTGAGCTGCAGCGAGATCAACAACACAACTCTGCTGTTGTTGCTATTGGCTGTTTTAGATCCTTGGATATCGAAAATGTGTCTTTCCAAGGGCTTGAATAGCTCTGAGTATTTTTGTTGTGAAAACCCAACAATGCCCGCTAAAGTAAAATAAAAAATATTTGTAATTGATGAATAAATCAGTTCCGCAATCCTGCAGGTGAAAGTGTAAATTCTCACATCTGACGGTAGGGGGCGAAGGCGAGCATCTTCAACCAAAGCACAAACCGTAGAAGAAGGAAACAACCACAACCCAAGCTAAAGTCTGCAGCTGCAGCTGTTGCTTAACAAATACACTATTTTTATCATTTTGTATGTACAGAAAGTTATGTTTTATGATTTTATCTCTAAGAGTCGAAGCTGTTGACACATTTCGGCTTTTTTAGTTTATTTAAAAACAACAAGCTTCCTGCTAATCATTTGCTGAGCGACAACAAAGAGGCTGCAACTGCACACACTGCTGGCAGTGGTGCAGAAAGAGTCATTTCATAGAACAGATCACATTAATCTGGCTGACATGACGGGGGTGGCCTCTCCAGAGAAGTCGCCAGGCGCCAAGAAGAAGAGCGAGAGGAAGTGTGCCATCAAGGAGGAGCACAGACAGCTGTCCGGTATCATGGGAGTCATGAACAACCTAAGGAAACAGTGTGTGTGTGTGTGTGTGTGTGTGTGTGTGTGTGTGTGTGTGTGTGTGTGTGTGTGTGTGTGTGTGTGTGTGTGTGTGTGTGTGTGTGTGTGTGTGTGTGTGTGTGTGTGTGTGTGTGTGTGTGTGTGTGTGTGTGTGTGTGTGTGTGTGTGTGTGTGTGTGTGTGTGTGTGTGTGTGGTGTGTGTGTGTGTGTGTGTGTGTGTGTGTGTGTGTGTGTGTGTGTGTGTGTGTGTGTGTGTGTGTGTGTGTGTGTGTGTGTGTGTGTGTGTGTGTGTGTGTGTGTGTGTGTGTGTGTGTGTGTGTGTGTGTGTGTGTGTGTGTGAGACAAAAGAACACGAGTGTGTCAGGGCTTGACATGAGACATTTAGTGTAAGTGTGTGTCCTTCCTTGTCCTGATGCTTTCTAACTGTGTGTGCTTTTTTCACACACATATAGACTGTAATACACCTGATGTGCAATAACACTGCCTGTACATTTGACAATAATATATGTGCAATATACACTCATGTGCAATATACCCTCGTGCAATTCACGCTTTCTTTTTCTTTAAATGTATTTACAATCTGTAAACAGTACCAGCAACCTTTTTAATTGAATATGGTCACTTTAAAAATATATATTGCTTCTTATTTTTACCATGGTGTTATTAGTTTTTAAATATTGTCTTTTTTATTTAATATGTAAACCATTTTTTTCTTTACTTTATCTGCACTATACTTCTGCTGTTGTAATGCTGTACATTTCCCCGTTGCGGGACAAATAGGGAATTCTGACAGATTTTCCTCTTCAGGGTACCCTCTGCGATGTGACCCTGATGGTTCAGGGGAAACACTTTCATGCCCACAGGGTAGTGTTGGCAGCTGCCAGCCACTTCTTCAGTCTCATGTTTACCAGTAAGTGTCGACAACGAAACACATAACTTTTGACAGGACAGCCACTTAATATTGTGTACAACTAGCCCAAGATATTACTGGAGATAGTTAATGGACACACCATTGCCTACTGTGCCAAAACACTGGCTTTCGTTAACATGCTCCACATACTTAGAATGTGCTTCAACAAAAAGCCTACATTGTGATTACCGCTAAGACAATTCCCAATTTTAAATGCATATCTTCTTGGTTTTGAATTGGTTTTGTTTATATAACCATGTATGTTTTTGTTATTGTTGTTTGGTTTTAGTCTGGTCTGCATTTATCGTATGTACCTCTGCAACATAAAAACATAGTGATAAAATGCCTCTGTTGCTACATGAGATTTAGAATGGAAGATAATATTTTTGGAAAGTCCCAATATTATTAAAGCAGTGGTCTCCAAGCTGTTGCTAGTAGGCATAACAAGAAATGTCATCTGCCATGCATTGTTGGTAGGTTTCTGTTTTCATTGAAATCTAAATAAATGTTTCCTTACCTCTAGCCAGAATGATGGAGTCGACCTCCCACGAGGTGGAGCTCAGGAGTGCTGAGCCAGAGATCATTGAGCTTTTGATTGAATTTATCTACACAGCTCGGTAAGCGTCTTGGCTAAAAGTATAGAGAGTATATTGTGAAATATAGCAGTATTGGTTTAAGGCATATGGGGCAACTTAAAATGTAATGTGACCAGAGGCCTGTACTACGAAGCTGGATTTTTGCTTAGCAGGCTAACTTCAGGGAAAACTCTGGGTTTCCGGTACTACGACGCTGGTTCTCTTTTTAGCGGGCTTAGTACAGGCCTCTGGTGATGCTAATCATAACTGCTTTCAAAACGGCCACATGCATCTCTTTAATGATGAAGTGTGTGTGTGTGCCAGGATCTCTGTGAACAGCAGTAACGTCCAGTCATTGCTGGATGCAGCCAACCAGTACCAGATTGAGCCTGTGAAGAAGATGTGTGTGGAGTTCCTCAAAGGACAAATTGATGCAACAAACTGCCTTGGTAAGAACGTAAATACAATCAAGGTGAAATCACATATCATCGTTTGTGACCTCAACATTTGCTGAGCCCTTTGATGCTTTATCTATGGACTCCCCAGCATCAATTATCAATACCACTTATATTACTAAGGTGCACACACTATTCCAGCTGCTTTTTCTAGAAAAGTAGAATTTAAAGTTATCTGTCCTACACATGTGTTTTGTTGCATCCTGCCCCATCATGTTACTCTGGAGTGATTGATCCTTGTCTTGTCCTCCTGCAGGTATTTCCTCCTTGGCAGACTGTATGGACTGTCCTGACCTGAAGGCTGCAGCAGACGACTTCTTTGAGCTCCACTTCACTGAAGTCTACAAACTGGATGAGTTTCTGCAATTGGACGTTAAACAGCTCACACACTTACTGCACCAGGACAAGCTCACTATCCGAGCTGAGGCCCAGGTACACTTCTACACATCCTTTGAATTCATATATTTTGTGCTATTATTTTTAGGTATATGATTTTTTTTTTTAAACATATCATAGTTGTTGATATAGATGTACCTTTGTTGACTATTTTTAGTGCAAAATAATAAGTCCCTAACAATATTTAAAATTTTAAAAAAGAAGCAATACATGCTAATTATCCAAAGAACAACTCGGAAAACCAAACAAATATGGTGTCAACACATCATGACAAAGATGACTCATAGCAAAAACAGCAATAATCTGTATGTTGTTGTTTTTTGCATTGGTGTTCAGATTTATGACGCAGCAGTACGATGGCTGAAGTACGATGTGTGTAACAGACAGCAGTACATGGTGGAAGTGTTGGGGTGTGTTCGCTTTCCTCTGGTCTCCAAAACCTTCCTCTCAAAGACGGTGCAGGCTGAACCCCTCATCCAGGACAACCCACAGTGTCTCAAGATGGTCATCAGTAAGTAGGAAGAGAGAGAAACACACACATTTTTACACACAATAGACCGCTATGGTTTAGGTGGTTAATTTGCTAAACGTACAATCAAGTCGCTTTGGATAAAAGTGTAAGCTTAGTAACAATAATGTAACAACAATAGGTTGTAGCTTATTCAAAAAAAGGGGCGCAAAAATATTGGTGTAATAAGTAAAGGGTCACATTGTCTACTAGGTGTAGACAAATTACATTACACTGGATGCAAACTAACTCGACATACTCTATTATAGTAGTGAAAGATAAAATAAGTATTATTATTGAGGGTAAAATTCTGAGTTTTTGGCAGGGCTCTTGCAAATGTTTAAAATGTGTGCCACCACCATAGATGGTGTTAACCCACCTGTATCCCCAACCCTGAATTAATGTCTTAAATTATCTCATATTTAAGATTCAAAAGATCATGTCAAAACGTACACACACCAAAAATAAAACCCCCGATGCCTTTGTCCCAGGTGGGATGCGCTACCACCTGCTGTCCCTGGAGGACCGGGAGGATCTGGGAGAGAGCAGCCGACCGAGACGCAAGAAGCACGACTACCGCATCGCTCTGTTCGGGGGCTCCCAGCCTCAATCCTGCCGCTACTTCAACCCCAAGGTACCAAGGCAGTAAATGTATTTTAGGTGTATATTCTTTTGTTTAGTACATTTTTCAATTTCAGAACCAAGACTTTGAGTTTTTGTAATTGACATCTTACATATTTCAAGAGTACATTTCATTTTAATCAGACCAAATACTTCAAAAACAAGCATTACAGCTATATCATTGTATATAGTTAGGGCAATAGAAATAAAAGTTTGCACTGTTTAATTTCTAATCTGGCTTTTAATGCAGGATTCCTCATGGACAGACATCCGCTGCCCCTTCGAGAAGCGGCGCGATGCCACAGCTATTTTCTGGGACAACGTGGTCTACATCCTGGGGGGCTCACAGCTCTTCCCCATCAAGCGCATGGACTGCTACAACGTCCTAAAGGACAGCTGGTACTCCAAGCTGGGGCCACCCACGCCTCGTGACAGCCTGGCTGCCTGTGCCTCACAGGGCAAGATCTACACGTCTGGGGGGTCAGAAGTGGGTGAGTACAGGCGGGTCGAAGGGGTGGACTTGAAACCTGGGAATTTGGATGCTTTGTGTGTTTACTGACTGTGTTGGGGATAGTGGACGTTGAGAATTCTCCATAGTAGAAAGTCATCCCTTATGAAAGGATTTAACCATGATCCATGTGTGTGTCCGCAGGCAGCTCTGCCCTGGACCTTTTCGAATGCTACGACACAAGAACCGAGTCATGGCAGGTGAAAACCAGCATGCTGTTGGCTCGCTGCAGCCACGGCTCAGTGGAGGCCAACGGGCTCATATACGTGTGTGGAGGCACGGTGGGCAACAACATATCTGGCAGGGTCCTCAATA